GGAAAATACAGTTAAGTGCAACATGTGCAGTGCAAGTCATAGGATACATAAAATTATGATGAGAACATTATAATTCGTGTGCTTGGGTCATGTCTTTTAATGTTGAGACTTTTATTTTTGTAACCAGGCTCTCAAAGTATATAAAAATTGTGATTTATCAGCTAATCTATCGGTTATCGGCTTTTAAATATAAAGAATTGTCCAAAATTGTCATATCGGTGCATACCTACAACAGACATTTCCTTCACGCAGTTAATTAATAAACCAACGTTTTGTTATATCTACCTTTTTCAGACTATAACAACCAAAACCAATATGCAGATGGTTTTAAATTGATAAAAAAAAAAATCAGCCAATAAACATCAGCTGCTGAAACATTGGTGCATATTCAAGGTTACACCACCTTGGTACTATTTTTGTAAAGGCATTGTTATTGTACTGCTGAATGTGTGTGGGAAGATGAAGAAAAGCAGCATTATGGAATGTGAATTTCTTAACTTTTACTATCAGTGCACTGGGGCAAGACTCAACAGGTTGAGAGATTCTGAACTCAGGTATTCTGCTCACCACACCCCCCACAAATATATTCAGCTCATAACCTAACAATACAAATGTTGTGATATTTTTTTAGAAGCTGATAAGAGCACACACACACACACACACACACGTCTCATCTTCTAAATTTAAAAAAGATTGAACTTTAGTTGTATAGTATACCTTCATATTAGAGCACATATTAATAATTTATACTTAATTGAAATAACCAGGGACATGGACGGGGGGTGTGGCTCAGTGGCCCTCTGCCCTCATAATTATATATTCAAGTAGGATACATGTTATTTTAGTAATAATCATCACTTCCACTTCCGATTACACAGTAACAACAACAACACCAAGATGTTATGGGAGGTTCTTCATACTTCATCACCAAGAAATGCATGTCATTAATATTCATGTGCAAAATTCCTCTGCCTTCCTATGAAGGCCTCAGGGAAACACAGTGTAGGGGCTGATACAGAGAGAATAATCCTTTTCCTTCTGAAATATTAAATATGATAGAACATGAATTTTGCTTTAGGTTAAAAAAAACATCCAAATTATTTCCTAAAATATATAAATATTATTTTTTATTCCTTAAACCTTAAAATTATATGAACTTGGAAAAGTGAGATTACAGCACACTCAAATGGCAATTCATAACTAGTTTAAGTTTCGTATGATCTGCTGACGCCCCACTGACAGTTAGGTTTAGAGGTGGACCTTCATGGTTCATTTAAAAAAAATATTCACCTCGTAAAATAGTTACGTTTGGAGATAATCACAAATGCAAATACAGCAAAACCAAAAACAACCCCAGTAAAATGAGGGTCACACAGGGCGTATATCATTAGCCTTCATAATCATTCCCAGTTATTTCCTTCTGTTCTGTTACCACAAGGCCTATTAAGTTCCACACCAGCCAGCGTCATGGCAGGGAGCGTCTCACACCAGCTTGACCCTGCAAACTATCTCCCCTCTGGGCAGAGCTGCTCCTACAGCTCCCTTTGATGCTTAATTACATCTACCGACAAGCCACTGTGACAGTATAAGCTCTACAACCAAACACACATCTATAATGACTTCAATTTAGGTTGGATCCTCAAACAGAAGACTTGTGAAGTTATATGGACTACATTTATAGTCAGTTTTGCAGCTGGACAGTGTTTGGCCCCGGCAAAGAAATTTGACAGATCAGGACAGTAACGAGCGATATCAGTATCACGTTTCCGACTCTGTAAGGAAGTGCTGAGATGTATTTTAGAATAATGAAATCGCATATGTCTGTAAAAACGAATGCTGTTGGCAAAATGTGCAGAAAAGCAATGTTCTCGCACACAAGTCGAGCTGTACACAACAAAATGCCTTTCTAGGCAAGTGAAAAGCACAGCAGTTTTGCAGCAGCGAAAACCCCATTGTAAATGACAGAGCCATCGTTCAGAAATACAGAAAAGACAAGTCTGACTACAAGATGCAGTGAAGCCTGACTGAGGAGCTCTTACAGGTGTGAATTAAAGGAACTAAACAGGAAGTGCAGTTGATGCTCTTCAAAGAGGGACTCTGCATTTAACGGGCATCTGTGCGACAACATCCTTGATGTGATTTTAAACACTGAAGAATGAACCAAAGAGGGCAGAAACAGTGTACAATATACACAGACAGACAGACAGGCATATGATGATGGTAAGAGCGACATTCTAGAACGACTGCCCGGTTAAAAGAACAGTTCTATCAAAAAAAAAAAAAAATCTGTTATTAATTAAAACCTGTATGACTTTTTTCTGTGGAATGTAAAAGGGATTTTTTTTGAAGAAGAAGAAGAATATAATGGGAACTGGGGCTGTCAAGACCCAAAAAGGATACAAAAGCACCATAAAAATAGTCCATAGAGACTTCGGTACTATATTCGAAGTCTTATGACTTTTTGTGGGAGGATGCACTGAAATCTGAATCATCATTTACTTAAAATATTCCCATCCACTGCAGATAAAAAAAAAAAAAAACTATTAGACACTGCTGTTAATAAAAAAGCTGTGTTATTTTAGTATAAAAATGGAGATTCTATTATAGTTTTTATTAATATTTTGTTTTGTATTAGTTTTTATGTTTTTTCATTTTCATTTTAGTTAAAGTTTTAGTAATTTTTTTGTGTGTTCTTGTCAACTTTAAGTCTTTTTTTTTTTTTTTTTATATCTATATAGTTTTTAATTTGTTATTTTAGTACATCCAAGTTAACCTAACTGAAAATGGGACATTTTGCCTTGGCAACTAGCTGAAATAAAAAAATAAAAAATAAAAATTCAAGTTATGAAAATGTTTTTGCTGGGTTTCTTTCAACCCATGTTTGAGTCAAATATGGACAAACCAAACTGTTGGGTTTAAACATTTTATTAAAAAATGTAAACCAACGGTTAGGGTTGTCCATATTTGGCAAAAACATGGGTTGAACACAACCCAGCATTTCTTAGAGTGTAGTTTTAGTTTCAGACAGTTAAAGTCCCTGTAAAGTCAAAATTAAGTATGTGTTTTGAGTTTGTCACACCACAGAAAAATTTGTTATTAGTCACCCAGCCAAATTTGAATGATAAAAAAAGTCAGCAAGTACATAAAATAAGCTATCAAAATCTTGAAAAAATGAGCAGTAATCTCTGCTCTCAAACGCTGGGGGCGTGTCCGCTGGCTGCGCTGAAACCACGCCCACTCGCGGGAAAGCTGCCGTCGACTCGCCACACTCAACTCTACAGCCGGAATGGATGCTCGCACGGTGGGCACGCACTGCCGATGATGGCACCAGTTGTCGGCGCGACGGGAGGATGAAGGCTGAGGCGGGAGTCGGTTCGGCCCCATTCACCAGTAACAACGGATTATCAGTGAATCCCAGACAGTTATCTCCGATGAAAGTTTATAAAACTATCCCGTGTAAAATGATCACTTACAGAGGCGGGTTTTGGCGGTGATCCTCAGCTCTCCATCAAGGTGGCTCTTCACAAAATTAATCCACGTCTTCTTGATGTAATCGTTTTTCGGAAATTTAAACAAGGACACCGATCTGTTTTGTACGTGATCCGGTGATCGCATCCAGGTAGTACGCATTTCCGTGACGAAGGCATAGCTAGTAGCTAGCAATCTGTAGGCTGTGTTACTAATAGTACTGACAGTAACTCGCGATTGAGCGGCACACTGATGTGAATGTGCTCTATAATATTGTTAGGAGCGGCCAGCCTCAGGGGCTCCAGTGCGTCATCAAGTAGGGGCGTGTCCAGGAGCTCAAGGGCTCCAGTGCGTCATCGAGCCCTGTTTTAGCCCCGCCCATAAAATCCGTAAAATAGCAATGGTGAAAAACTGTTTAACGGTCTAACTCCACAATTCAGTACTTCACAGTTCACAGTCTTTGTAATATGTTTTAGCAATACATTTCTAACATTTATAAAGTGTTTAGAATTTTTTTTCGAAATTGCCTTTACAGGGACTTTAACTAACCCTGGTAAATAAGGCACACAACTACCAATATCGACACACCATTTTTTTTAGCCCATTTCAGAGCTTCACCGGTGACCACTGGGATATTGTGCACTGCATGTATGAACTGTTTATATGACACTCTTACTTTTTGTCATAACTTTGACATAGCCAGTCCTCATTCACTTTCACTATGGGATAAATTAAAAATTAAATAAAAAATAATAATAAACAAACAGAGAAATTAAAGTTTAAGAAAAAAACATGACAGTGATCATTTTCATTATTTGGGGAACTGTTCCTTTAAAATCTGCACTTTAGAGGGAGGAAGTGACCTTTGGATTTCGACCTTTATATATCCAACTCATTAATATTAATGACGGCAAAAACACACTGAAGCCTTTCTGTTATGATTTGAATAACTGCCCTTTTAGCATTGGGAATTTTTTTCTCGTTTAAATATCATGTAAACATTCTAGGTTTTGGATACAAACGGCGTCCCTTAACAGCTCAAAGATTATGAGTGTCCGCAACCAAAACCCCAGTTCAATTATTTACAGACCAGACCCACATTCAGATGTTGTTATTAAACATTCAAAGAACCATGACAACATCACAATCCCAGAATGATGCTGATGGGGAACAGCACTGCTGGTCCAATCAGGACTGGAAAGGAGACAATGCATCTCAAACTGGGATTAGTCCATTATGCCATCCTGCACCCAATGCATTCTGGCGACCAAACTAGGCTGTATAATGCCATTTACACGCATGATTTATTTAAGATGATTAAATAAACACGATGTACCATCAAAGACACGTTGTCTCATGCAGCAGCCTCAAGTGGCTCTTATTTAGACAGCTGTGAAACAGACCCATCGCATTCAGATTCAAAAACACAATGCGCCCATTCTTCGACATGCAGAGGGTTGCAAGAAAAACGGAAAGCAGAAAGGTGGCAAGATCAAGCCATTACACAGGCGTAATAAAATACATAACTGTACCTATGCGTTCCCTAGATGATCAGCCCTTGGTGTCCAAATGCCTTAAAGTTAGAGATGTTTTAGGCTTGTCCACTTAGTCCATGTGTGGGTCAACTTCTGATCAACAGAAGATACAGACGTGGTCATTCACACATTCAGCAAAACAGATCTTCCAGAGAGCTTTCCTCAACATCAATGCAGAGCAGACAAAAGATGATCGGCTCGTCTGTGCATACAAATACACCCCCAAAAACCGTTAAGACAGCGGCGGTTGTATGCGCTTCAAACAGCGCGTGTAAGAAACCAAACGGTTAAGCCAAAAAAGCACAAATGTGGCGGCGTATTACTGACCAGAGTAGTCGATAAACTGAAAGCCGCCTGAAGCGAGCAGTTTTTAAGCGTTACGGAAGCGCAGCACACCCAAGGGCTACAGCTGTCTTTAACACACAGGCCCTAGAAAAGGAAACGCACTTCTTCAGACAGCCCCGTGAATAGTGCGCATGCGTCGCACCGCTGCGCGAATTCTACTACGGCGAAGGCTTGGCTCATGAATATTAATCACGTGACGAGACGTGATTGGCTGAAAGGCAGACGTTGGTAGCCCGCTAGCGAATTAACGACCGGTACTATGATAATCGTTAATATTAACGAGGTTGCATAACTGGACGCTGCAGGAAGGTTACCAAGTAGCGTCAGCATGACCTAATTAATATTCATAATCTAGGCCCTTTCCGTGGTAGGATTCGTATTTTCGCATTCGGAGACAGGAGCGACAGCACGCGCTTTTAAAGAGAATTGCAGCCATTAAAACATTCACATGTGATATTTTACCCAAGTAAGTAGGTCGTATTGTAATTTTCATGGTGTTTTGTAAGGTGGAAAGAGATTAAAACAATTGCAAATAATACAACGAGAGCCACAAAGCGTTTTTTTTTCCATTCTCTTTATTTATTCAGTCCTTAAACTTCAAAAGTTGACAGTATTAAGCAAGGTTTCCAGTGATATCAGAATTATGCGGAACAGAGTCACTAACTCACAATTAATGGTAATGATGTTTTTGTCTAAACCAGTTTACCGAGTTGTGTTGCCTTATACAACAGGTGCAGAGATAAATGATAAAATTATGCAATGCTAACAACCTTGATCTCATACTTTTGTAAAGAAAAAGGCATAAGAATGGAAAAAAGAATGGAAAGTAGCTTTCAACTTTTGATACTGAACAAAACCTCTCGGAACCTTCAGAAACGTATTCAATGATGTCATTGTGACAAATGTGGGGGAGCCACACAAATGAGCATCACCAGATAACAAAACGTTTTCAAAAATCTTTTAAATTGCTCAACAGAATTTGGTCACAGTTTTTAGAAGCAAACTCCTACAGAGGAATGATATATATCAAACTGCATTTTAACATACATCTAAGGCATCAAATATTCAATTGAATATTACAACGAAAAAAAAACCTGTACAGCAGTAACAATTTTTAAGCTCAAGTAACGTCGTAAAGACCAGCAAATGATTTTTGCCACCATTTTTAAGCTTGTTGTGCTGGATTTGCTCAGTAACTGCTGTATAATTAGACATATGTTCTCCTATCTGCATTCATCCACTATAAGATTTAAGATAATCCTTTCCTGTGTTCTCAAAACATGGACAGTGCAATCTCTTTAGCATCATTAACTTATTAATGCTTTCAACAATTGCCTTTTTTCATTCAGTTTTTGCTTTTAAGCTCAAAAGCTACTTTCAATGAGCCCAATGGCTCTCCAACAGCCATCAGAGGCCGCACCAATGACCTTACAGACACAAACATCAACAGAAAAAGCTAATAGGAAAGCCAAAATTCACATTTAATTTTTTTTCTCAGGACTGAGAATAGCTGATGATGAGTAAGGTCTGATGGTTTCTAGTTTATCTAAACACTTATGACAAGAAAATTAGACATCTGGAGTGTTCAACTTTAGAGATTTCACCCCTAGATTGTACATACCGGTAGCTTCACCAAAAAAAAGAAAGAAAAGAAAAAGGAACAATGACCATTATGCCTAAACCATGAATGTGGCTTATGAACAGAAAACAAAGATAAAAGAAGAAAGAAATCCTCTAAATTAAATGTGGGAGAAGGAAGAAACAAAATATTCAAATTCAGAAGACATCACAATAAAGCTTAAACGGAGAAAGAAAAAAACCCAGTAAAAAATAAGTCTTATGAAAGCAGTACGTTATTACTGGCGTCACCTGTGAAACAATTTTAAGTTCATTATTGTTGCATATGGATCCTGAATAGTAAGTGCCTCTTATTATAACATTGAAGGCATACGGTAATCTGCAGGTACAAACAAAAATCTCTTTGTCTTTATCAGTGCTTTTGAAAAACTCATAATTCATTACCCAAAAGTACTGAGTGAGCAACACACACTGACTTTCTGCTCTGTAATGGGTTTGTGCACACAATAATATAACCTATAATAGAATCACAAATCGATTTCAGCAAGCAGGTTTATTGCAACACATGGAGCATCTCTCTTAATAAAAGACCCTTGTTTGATATAACCAAACAAGCAATACCGACTCCATCTGAAACCCATTTAAAACAGGATCTAATGAGCTGCTTTTTTTTAGCACTACGAACGGAAACAAAAAGGAAATGAGGTAAAGCACAGCAATGAATATAAGCATAAGAAAATTGGTGGTATTGGCCAATGACTGCTTAAAATGGTCAGTAATGGTCCAAAGTCAACCAATTTGACAAACAGTTTTTTTAGTACACTTACCTTACCATTCAAGTGTGCAACATTTTATCACTGATAAGAACCCAGTCAATCTGACATATTTACAGCACACTGGGCTTGGTCAACAAAGCAAATAACGCTTTGAAACGAGATTTTTGCAAGCAATAAACTGCCTCAATCTCAGTGCCTTAACACTGACTTTAATCAATCTGGCACAAAAAGAAAAAAAAGGGAGAAAAAAGGCAAAACCCTCATCTAATGCACATTTTTCTATGAAAAAATATGAAAGTCGGTCGAAATCAGCACATCCGACTGTAAACTAAAAGCAAATTCTTCTATTCGAGATGCTGAAAGTAACAAAATAAGATTCAAACATGCCATAAGACCAATTAAGTTGCATTAAGTTTGAGCCAGTTTTGATGTTTTTTGTGGAATATCTGCATAATTTATTAATGGGTTATGAAAGTTGTTTCATCTAAAAAGATCCGCCTTGCATATTAAAGCGGCCGTGTGGAAGATTATTGTAAGAATATGAAGCAGACGGTGGTGAGTATACTGATATTGGTTCCACTTTTAGCATATCAGGTTTGTCATAAGAGCTGGTATCGTTTTCCATCACTTCCCTTTGATGGGAATCATCACAGAAGTAGAGAAGAATTTGAGAAAAAAAGAGACTGAGAAGTTCCAGTTCTGCTGCAACATTCAAACCGACATCTGTTCATTCTTAAAATCTTTAAGGCAGGTTCAGTGAGCCTTGACCGTGAAGGCCAATGGCTTATTCGGAGTGCAGCGGGATGACGAATTTACATCCAAAGGGGGAGTGGTATTTGATCCCCACTTCTTGGAATACCTGTCGGGGAATGCCGATGTCACATAGGTAGACTCGGCCGGCGCCCTCGGACAGAGGAAGTGGGAGGCCCAGAAAAAGTGACCATTTGGCTTCTACGGCATGTGCCTGTCCACTTACTGGAGGGTCGATGCTCAGGACGGGGGCTCTGTTCTGGTTGGCCCAGTCGGCGGCGGCCTTGTACCAGGGCTGGTCCCTCAAGAATCCGTTTTCGTGCGAGTCCAGGCAGTTAATGACCAGGTCAACTGGCGTCTCAGGCAAGTCTGAGGGCGAAATGACATTTGTTTTAAATGAGTGGATGATTAGACCAAAGGTTACTAATGTAGTTTAACTCTTAACACAAAGTCATATCTAAATAACATCTTCATTGACTTTCATAGGTGTTCTGGTATATTATGTAAGGAGGGTGGGTGGATGCAAAGTAAACGTGTTTTTGCAATTCAGTATGGAAGTTTCCAAGACCTCCAAGCCCATCTAAACAAAGCATTCAGGTGGGTGTGTTAGGAACGTATGTGAGATACAGAAACCATGCTAAAGGTTTCATGCACCAAATGTGTGTTGATGGAAAGAGACTTAATAAAAGTTTGACTTTGACTTGACAGATCTTTGAGTTAAAAAAACAACAACTGGTGATCCAATCACAAATGCTCAGATCTAGTATAAATGAGGGGAGGGTTTTGGGCCTCTTGATTTAATTGATAAAGCCCAATGCTGCTCTTTAATGTTGCTCATATTCTTAAATATGATTAGGGATACCCAATATTAAAAGTCTGGATAATACATTAAGCTAAATATTATTTCCATTGTATAGCTGATAACCATTAAATAGACTACTTCAATTCTATACTATTTTGTATGGATGCAACGATACCACTTTTTCCAGAATGAGTCCGAAACGATGATTTCATTTTTGGTACTGAGTACCAATACCTCCATTTTCATTGCATTCATAATTTTTTTGTATATAATTTGAATATAATATTTAAAATAAATAATTATTATATTTAAATAATTTAAATATATATATTTTTAAATATTGGAGAAACCAAAAGAATATGAATCATATTAGTTGGCTTAATTTGTTTAGCAAATAGATGTTTCCTTGAGTTATTTTTATGCTTAATTATGCCTGTTAAAATGTATTGTATGAGCTGCTGTTACCGTTCTGTTCACTATTCATTCTATTGTTCAATCGTATTTCATTTTTCATAAGGCACACATTTTGAGCCACTCCAGTGCAGATAATGTTTTCCTGTTTAGGGAACCACATATTATACATATATGGTTATATAAAACATGTACAGTTTATGTTTTTACTTAGGCTACATATATGTAGTAGACATGAAAGAGTTAATGTTTTTAATTGTCACGTGATCATGGTGGGGGGTCACGGGATTACGTAGAAATGTGAATATTAGTCACCTGTTCACTGATTAAGTCAGGTGAGAGGGGGTGAGCAGGGGCGATGTATTCTTTGTTGACCACTAAACTTTGTACCATCAAGAAACATCAGCCAGCAATAAAGAATTGCTAGTAAAAGAGTAAAAGCCTCATCGATGTTGTATTTATGCGTCACAAGTGCATGAGTCCCTGTCTTAGTCTCTCAGCGGTATCATCATTGAATTCAGTAGACGCTATAATATACGATTTAGTTTTAATCCAACTGACACGTGCCGAGTGAGAAATCAGCAATCAAGCGCATGCAACGGAAGTGTACTCTCTCTTTACAGCCAAATAACATTAGTAATATGCACACATCATTTTACTTGCTTTGCTATTGACATATCCGACCGAAATACAAACTTTCCTGCAAAGTCTGTGAGAAAGGGATGTGAGCTCGACACGCTTGCTATGTTTGAACTGAATTTAGATTGAATTTAGGCTTTTATTCACATATAAACATTCATCAACTCAGACAGGTAAACGGAAGCTCAAGCATGTTCACTTGACGTGCGAGAACAAATAAGGTTCATTCTCGTGTTATGCAGCACGTTTGAGCTTCATCAAGAACCAATGAGGTTCATTCTCGTGTTACGCAGCACGTTTGAGCTTCAGCAAGAACCAATGAGGTTCATTCTCGTGTTACGCAGCACGTTTGAGCTTCAACAAGAACCAATGAGGTTCATTCTCGTGTTACGCAGCACGTTTGAGCTTCAACAAGAACCAATGAGGTTCATTCTCGTGTTACGCAGCACGTTTGAGCTTCAACAAGAACCAATGAGGTTCATTCTCGTGTTACGCAGCACGTTTGAGCTTCAGCAAGAACCAATGAGGTTCATTCTCGTGTTACGCAGCACGTTTGAGCTTCAACAAAAACCAATGAGGTTCATTCTCGTGTTACGCAGCACGTTTGAGCTTCAACAAGAACCAATGAGGTTCATTCTCGTGTTACGCAGCACGTTTGAGCTTCATCAAGAACCAATGAGGTTCATTCTCGTGTTATGCAGCACGTTTGAGCTTCAGTAAGAACCAATGAGGTTCATTCTCGTGTAACGCAGCACGTTTGAGCTTCAACAAGAACCAATGAGGTTCATTCTCATGTTACGCAGCACGTTTGAGCTTCAGCAAGAACCAATGAGGTTCATTCTCGTGTTACGCAGGACGTTTGAGCTTCAGCAAGAACCAATGAGGTTCATTATTGTGTTACGCAGCACGTTTGAGCTTCAGCAAGAACCAATGAGGTTCATTCTCATGTTACGCAGCACGTTTGAGCTTCAGCAAGAACCAATAAGGTTCATTCTCGTGTAACGCAGCACGTTTGAGCTTCAGCAAGAACCAATGAGGTTCATTATTGTGTTACGCAGCACGTTTGAGCTTCAGCAAGAACCAATGAGGTTCATTCTCGTGTAACGCAGCACGTTTGAGCTTCATCAAGAACCAATGAGGTTCATTCTCGTGTTACGCAGCACGTTTGAGCTTCAACAAGAACCAATGAGGTTCATTCTCGTGTAACGCAGCACATTTGAGCTTCATCAAGAACCAATGAGGTTCATTCTCGTGTAACGCAGCACGTTTGAGCTTCAGCAAGAACCAATGAGGTTCATTCTCGTGTAACGCAGCACGTTTGAGCTTCAGCAAGAACCAATGAGGTTCATTCTCGTGTAACGCAGCACGTTTGAGCTTCAACAAGAACCAATGAGGTTCATTCTCGTGTAACGCAGCACGTTTGAGCTTCAACAAGAACCAATGAGGTTCATTCTCGTGTAACGCAGCACGTTTGAGCTTCAGCAAGAACCAATGAGGTTCATTCTCGTGTAACGCAGCACGTTTGAGCTTCAACAAGAACCAATGAGGTTCATTGTGTTACGGCGCACGTTTGAGCGTCAGCAAGAACCAATGAGGTTCATTATTGTGTTACGCAGAACGTTTGAGCTTCAACAAGAACCAATGAGGTTCATTCTCGTGTTACGCAGCACGTTTGAGCTTCAGCAAGAACCAATGAGGTTCATTCTCGTGTTACGCAGCACGTTTGAGCGTCAGCAAGAACCAATGAGGTTCATTGTGTTACGGCGCACGTTTGAGCGTCAGCAAGAACCAATGAGGTTCATTATTGTGTTACGCAGAACGTTTGAGCTTCAACAAGAACCAATGAGGTTCATTCTCGTGTAACGCAGCACGTTTGAGCTTCAGCAAGAACCAATGAGGTTCATTCTCGTGTAACGCAGCACGTTTGAGCTTCAACAAGAACCAATGAGGTTCATTCTCGTGTAACGCAGCACGTTTGAGCTTCAACAAGAACCAATGAGGTTCATTCTCGTGTAACGCAGCACGTTTGAGCTTCAGCAAGAACCAATGAGGTTCATTCTCGTGTAACGCAGCACGTTTGAGCTTCAACAAGAACCAATGAGGTTCATTGTGTTACGGCGCACGTTTAAGCGTCAGCAAGAACCAATGAGGTTCATTATTGTGTTACGCAGAACGTTTGAGCTTCAACAAGAACCAATGAGGTTCATTCTCGTGTTACGCAGCACGTTTGAGCTTCAGCAAGAACCAATGAGGTTCATTCTCGTGTTACGCAGCACGTTTGAGCGTCAGCAAGAACCAATGAGGTTCATTGTGTTACGGCGCACGTTTGAGCGTCAGCAAGAACCAATGAGGTTCATTATTGTGTTACGCAGCACGTTTGAGCTTCAGCAAGAACCAATGAGGTTCATTATTGTGTTACGCAGCACGTTTGAGCTTCAGCAAGAACCAATGAGGTTCATTCTCGTGTTACGCAGCACGTTTGAGCTTCAACAAGAACCAATGAGGTTCATTCTCGTGTTACGCAGAACATTTGAGCTTCAGCAAGAACCAATGAGGTTCATTGTGTTACGGCGCACGTTTGAGCTTCAGCAAGAACCAATGAGGTTCATTATTGTGTTACGCAGAACGTTTGAGCTTCAGCAAGAACCAATGAGGTTCATTATTGTGTTACGCAGAACGTTTGAGCTTCAGCAAGAACCAATGAGGTTCATTCTCGTGTTACGCAGCACGTTTGAGCTTCAACAAGAACCAATGAGGTTCATTCTCGTGTAACGCAGCACGTTTGAGCTTCAACAAGAACCAATGAGGTTCATTCTCGTGTTACGCAGCACGTTTGAGCTTCAACAAGAACCAATGAGGTTCATTCTCGTGTAACGCAGCACGTTTGAGCTTCAGCAAGAACCAATGAGGTTCATTATTGTGTTACGCAGCACGTTTGAGCTTCAGCAAGAACCAATGAGGTTCATTATTGTGTTACGCAGCACAATTGAGCGTCAGCAAGAACCAATGAGGTTCATTATTGTGTTACGCAGCACGTTTGAGCTTCAGCAAGAACCAATGAGGTTCATTATTGTGTTACGCAGCACGTTTGAGCTTCAGCAAGAACCAATGAGGTTCATTCTCGTGTAACGCAGCACGTTGAAGCTTCAGCAAGAACCAATGAGGTTCATTCTCGTGTAACGCAGCACGTTTGAGCTTCAGCAAGAACCAATGAGGTTCATTCTCGTGTAACGCAGCACGTTTGAGCTTCAACAAGAACCAATGAGGTTCATTCTCGTGTAACGCAGCACGTTTGAGCTTCAACAAGAACCAATGAGGTTCATTCTCGTGTAACGCAGCACGTTTGAGCTTCAACAAGAACCAATGAGGTTCATTCTCGTGTTACGCAGCACGTTTGAGCTTCAGCAAGAACCAATGAGGTTCATTCTCATGTTACGCAGCACGTTTGAGCTTCAGCAAGAACCAATGAGGTTCATTCTCGTGTAACGCAGCACGTTTGAGCTTCAACAAGAACCAATGAGGTTCATTCTCGTGTAACGCAGCACGTTTGAGCTTCAGCAAGAACCAATGAGGTTCATTCTCGTGTAACGCAGCACGTTTGAGCTTCAGCAAGAACCAATGAGGTTCATTCTCGTGTAACGCAGCACGTTTGAGCTTCAACAAGAACCAATGAGGTTAATTCTCGTGTAACGCAGCACGTTTGAGCTTCAACAAGAACCAATGAGGTTCATTCTCGTGTAACGCAGCACGTTTGAGCTTCAACAAGAACCAATGAGGTTCATTCTCGTGTTACGCAGCACGTTTGAGCTTCAACAAGAACCAATGAGGTTCATTCTCGTGTTACGCAGCACGTTTGAGCTTCAGCAAGAACCAATGAGGTTCATTCTCGTGTTACGCAGCACGTTTGAGCTTCAACAAGAACCAATGAGGTTCATTCTCGTGTTACGCAGAACGTTCGAGATTCAGCAAGAACCAATGAGGTTCATTATTGTGTTACGCAGCACGTTTGAGCGTCAGCAAGAACCAATGAGGTTCATTCTCGTGTAACGCAGCACGTTTGAGCGTCAGCAAGAACCAATGAGGTTCATTCTCGTGTTACGCAGCACGTTTGAGCTTCAGCAAGAACCAATGAGGTTCATTATTGTGTTACGCAGCACGTTTGAGCGTCAGCAAGAACCAATGAGGTTCATTCTCATGTTACGCAGCACGTTTGAGCGTCAGCAAGAACCAATGAGGTTCATTCTCGTGTAACGCAGCACGTTTGAGCTTCAGCAAGAACCAATGAGGTTCATTCTCGTGTAACGCAGCACGTTTGAGCTTCAGGAAGAACCAATGAGGTTCATTCTCATGTTACGCAGCACGTTTGAGCTTCAGCAAGAACCAATGAGGTTCATTCTCGTGTAACGCAGCACGTTTGAGCGTCAGCAAGAACCAATGAGGTTCATTGTGTTACGGCGCACGTTTGAGCGTCAGCAAGAACCAATGAGGTTCATTCTCGTGTTACGCAGCACGTTTGAGCTTCAGCAAGAACCAATGAGGTTCATTCTCGTGTAACGCAGCACGTTTGAGCGTCAGCAAGAACCAATGAGGTTCATTCTCATGTTACGCAGCACGTTTGAGCTTCAGCAAGAACCGATGAGGTTCATTCTCGTGTAACGCAGCACGTTTGAGCGTCAGCAAGAACCAATGAGGTTCATTCTCGTGTAACGCAGCACGTTTGAGCGTCAGCAAGAACCAATGAGGTTCATTCTCGTGTAACGCAGCACGTTTGAGCTTCAACAAGAACCAATGGGGTTCATTCTCGTGTTACGCAGCACGTTTGAGCTTCAGCAAGAACCAATGAGGTTAATTCTCATGTTACGCAGCACGTTTGAGCGTCAGCAAGAACCAATGAGGTTCATTCTCGTGTAACGCAGCACGTTTGAGCGTCAGCAAGAACCAATGAGGTTCATTCTCGTGTAACGCAGCACGTTTGAGCTTCAACAAGAACCAATGGGGTTCATTCTCGTGTTACGCAGCACGTTTGAGCTAACAAACAAGTCCTGGACGATGAGTGATCAGCACTGTTTCAGCTGTGTGCTCCTATTCTATGGTGCATGGTAAATCAAAACCTGTCAATCTGAGCAATATAAACCAATCCAGCGTGCTCCAGCTGTAAAACAGTGTCCTATTGGTCTCTTCACATCTTCCCTACCCACTATACACACCCACCACACCAGAGATCCAGTTTACATTGGTTGAACTTTCAAATGACATTGGAAAACACTGCATTTTGATCGCGACGCAATCGGATCCCAGAAGTCCTATAGCTTAAGCCAAGCAGCATATCATGTCACTCTGTGATCTACATTGTCTTATGTTGTGTTTGGGCTTGTTCGAGAAGAGCCCAAACACAGTTATGTCACAGTTATGTGATCTACTATGGTTTACTAATGTTTTGAGAAGTTACAAACCAAAATGTGGCGCATGAGAATCATGTGTATACTGTTTACACGTGTGTCGGCAGCACTTTTTCATACAAATACTTGGTATAGTTTGGTCTCTAACTGAAACAAATATGCTTGTATTTTGCTAGTTAAGACATTTTCAACGATAAATGAAACAAGTCCGTTATGTAGGCTACTATGTTTTTTACAGATCACATTTTCAGGTAAAGCAGTTATTTTTCCACAATATAAAAATAGAGCACTTCTAATATGTCAGCAAATTAAAAGCACTTATTAAGTGATGGTCATATTCCCTATATTCACTGTAAACCCACTGTTAAGCAAGTGGTTGTTAAGTAACATGATAACTTAGTAGAGCGCCCCTGCCTCGGATTTAAGAGGTTAAGATTAACCGATTAATTGATCATTAATTCAAACAACGATCGATTAGGGGAATATATGTAAAATGACATCCCTAAAATACACCTACATGTTATACCAAGCATGATTATTAAATGTAGACGCAACAGTGCCACACCTTTCACATTAGAAACCAGTTTGCCTCCCGTCTTCCCGAAAAGTGCAAGCTCACTGGTGATGGCCTCCAACATCTTGACAAAATTTGGCAGGAAAAGGATGACCTCCACTTCATGGTTGGCCAAGTGACGGCCACAGCTGATGCCCTGAGCGCCCTGGACATGTGGTCCACACAGCAGGGACACTGTTGGCCGTTGATGCACATTCTTTGGAGTAAGTCTACGAGAAGAACCAGACCAATGATAAACAGACTCTCTGAAGATATTTCTGACAATGCAATTCCTGTTTAAGCCCCACAAACCTGTTCGGGCCTCCAAGTAACGTGAGGGCCATCTGACTCGCACAAACGCCCGTCATCTCAAGCCTGCGCTCCAGAGAGAGACCGTGACTTTCTGCTGCAGCTAACAAACGCTTGTGCAACTCGAAAGAGATGCTGGGTACCACCAGCCCTGAGTCTGAGAGAAATAGGAATTAAGAAATTAAGATAAAGTAATCAAAATTATTTAATAGTTCATGAGGTCAGATTCGTACCAGTGCTATACTCTTTCGTTCCATTCTGTGGAACTGTGATCTGTCTGTAGACGACAGGTTTGGCCTCCAGGATGTTCTCGTCATGCCGGTATCGTGATGGTGTTTGCTCTCCAGGTGTCCCTCGAGATCTCGCACCATTGCCTCGCCGTTCTGACGAATCGATCTGCGAGAACACCGCAGCCTTGTCGAACAGCGCCAGGTTCCCCTCAAAATCAAAGTCCTCATCGAGAACATCGTCTATACCGTCTCCAAAACATTCATCGTCTTTGTTTTTCATATGACCTCCGTTCTTCAGGCCGTTCTTTTTCGGTGTGGCCTGATTTGGACCTTTGCAACTAGATGACCCTAGAAACAAAGAATTTAAAGTGGGAAATAGTTATATATAATATAGTAATATTGTAAAGTAATATTGTAATTTTAAAGCCATAAATGTAAAATTAAATATTATATTTTGCTTAATATTTTTACTAAATATTTTACAATGAAATATTACAATAGTAAAATCCCTGTTTTGTTATTGTGTTATTTAATTCCCCATTTTTATTTTGTAATAACAATAATATCAATACGTTATTAAAATGTTATTATTATACATCAATACGGTTATTTAATACATTAGTTTTGCGTTTAAAACAGCTTTTGTCCAGGTACACTTGCGCATAGTTTTTCAGGTATCTTTGCAGGAAGATTTCTTCTAGCGTCTTGGAGACGTTGCCACAGTTCTTCTGGATTTAGTCTGTCTCCGTTTTTTTTCTGTTTCTTCGTGTAATCACAGACAGACTCGATGATGGTGAGATCAGATCTCCGTGTGGAGCATATAAAAATCTTACTCGATTATTACAATTAATGGCAAAAGGAATGTTTGGAAACGTAAACTAATATTTTCTACTGACACACTACAGTAAAAGATATAAACAATTGGCTCAAACCTTTTTTTGGGAGAAAATACTAACGTGCCTAAGACTTTTGCACTGTACTGTATATATATAGTTAAAATCTGAAAGATTTGTTTCAAAACCCAATGACAGATGAGACTCACAGGAGTTGTGTCTTCGTCTAAAGCCTTTACTTTGGCCAGCCATGTCCATGTGACGTTCACCGTAACTCTTGGAGTAGTGTGGCACCGGAGACACCCCTCCTTCCTGCAATTTGGGTTCAGTTTTATTAGGTACCGTCACCGGAGCGCTGTTGACTAGGGCACCACCACCCTTGTCCTTGCGTCCGCTATGCGGCGTCAATGTGGAATTGGAGTCTGGACCATTCTGCTTCGGGACTTCAGCGAAGCTCTTACGGATCTCAAGGATTTTGAGATCTTTAATGTCCATGGCACTACGGATTAGAAAGGTGTACTCGTTTAATACAGTAACTAATTGTGTTTGGTATTCAAATTCTGATGATCCAGTATTAAAAGCTGTATTAAGAACTGGACTTTAAAGTACACATGGACTTCAAAATCCTACAAAAATGTAGAATGTGTCCACTGAGACAAGGCTGCCTACCCTACAAACATCTTTGAACTTCATAAAGGATCAAAAACAGACACTACAATGTCAGGCATAGCATAGGTTTTATTATTTACCTGAAAGTGACCTCAGGAACAGTGCACTTGACTCCATTGTGGAAGGGATGTCTGAGAGAGATGGTCTGGCTGGTCTGATCTACTGAAGATACTTCTCCTTGATACACTCCTAGTGTTGCTCCACAGTGGACTGAAACAAGACTGCCAATCCAGTCTGATGCCATTCCGACCAGCTGAAATTAGATTAAAAAGACGTTTGTTATTCTTTATGATTTTTTTTTTATTATTAAAACATAATTCTTAAAAACTGGGAATGTGGGAATACATTAATATGGATGGATAAATCAAGTATCGAACGTTAGATGAGAAGATGCTAATGTTAGCCAGCTAGATGTACAGGACGCAAAGGCTTTATAAGCCACTTTTTTCGTAGTCGGTTTTATAAAACTAGTAAAATGACTTAATCACCTGTTGTCAAGAGCAAATCCTTTAAATAATACGGGTAACTGTTATATCGTGATAGATTTTTGATGAACTCTTGTGAAGAGCTCGACTGCGCTAACGGCTTCTTCTTTGGCGATTCACAATGATCGAGTATCAGTTTTGAATCTGTGTTTACTGCCACTTACCGGACAACCGCCAAAGTACATCGAGGTGCATGCTGTGGCATAAACTTAAAAATCTTACAATAAGCAATTATTAATATTAATTCATATTTATAATCTTGTTTTATAAATCCTAATTATTATTGAATTATATTATTGCATTATTTAATTTATATAATATTATTTTATCATTAAATAATAGCATTTTATTAATTGTGATAAATAACGACAATTATCAATTATAATTACATTAATAGTATTATTAAATTAAGCAATATTCGCCACCAGGGGCTTTTGTTTCTATTTTAAGGGAAGAAATATGGAATATATATATATATATATATATATATATATATATATATATATATATATATATATATATATATATATATATATATATATATATATATAGCCAACGTCTAATATTTTTAGATAAGCCTTTGACAGCCTTAAATGGGTGACATTAAGAGAAGCAAGCTAGAGTTTCCTGTTAAGGTCAAAGACAGAAGAGGAACCAGCATATGTCTGGTAGAAACATATCATGCAAAGAACATTGAAGAGTTCACAGTGACATTTCCCACAAGCTCCAACAGCACTTGAGATGCCTTCAGGACTTTCTGAGCGGTGACAGCACCGTGTTTATTTGGACAAAAATATGTGTGTGAAGGTGAACTGAAGGAAGACTTGGCCAGAGGCAGAGGCTCTTACAGGATCTGATTTTAGTGTTATTGCAGTGTGCTTTGTTGTGGTGTAGATTAAATTAGTTTTATATTACATTTCAAAAGTGCTTGAACAATTTATCCTCTTCATGTGACATAATTGTACCTGAAATAGCCATTTTAAATTATTATTTAATATTACATATGAATAAAATGTATTTAAATGTTAAGTGTTAATAATTATTAAATTAGAATTATTATTTAATATTAATTATATTACAAATTTATACACACACTACACAAAAGTGACTGTGTGTAAACTGTGATAATTTTACCTGAAATATATACATACATTTGTCATTATAGACCGGTAAGATTATGAAATTAAACGCTTTATAATATAATATAAATAAATGACAGATTTCATGTAGCATGGAATTTTAATTAGACCACAAAAATATAATTTTGACACTATAATGACACTAATAATGTTGAAAAATAACTAATTAGTGTGTTAAACAGGAATTATTTATTGTTGTTTAATAAATAATATGAAACAAAATTATTCAACCATATAAAATAAATCCCGCGTGTTTGATTTAATTTTGATAAAAATCAAACACGGCGCTCTTTCTGGAGAGCCAATCAACGCTTAGAAAATCTCCGTGATCCCGCCTCCCACATTACCTCACTATCATGTGATCATGTGATCATGTGACAATATCACAACAAAAATGTCTGCCTGCTTTTCGCTGTGGTAAATTGTTAAATCGTTTCACAAATATATCAAAAAAGTGTGTGTGCATTTGCGTCAAAACTACTGCGAATCTGGCATCAAATGAAGACTTTTTTTTAAACCAACTGAGTCAGATAGTGAATATTTTACCACGTAAGCGACTGTACTTGTTGTACTGTACTGTACTGTACTACTTTGATTAATTAGTAACGCTAATATCTTGTGTTTTTGTGAAAAGCGTCATCATGGAGCCCACCGCATCGGGAATATTCTGTAACAGGATGCTCAGCATGGTGAACTCTGAGGATGTGAACGCCATCATTCAAGCTCAGAGACATATGTGGGTTTCCCTATCTAGTGAGTGACCTACCCAGGCAGCATTTTGAACTAGGGTTTTAACCTGATTTTGCTGCATGTCTTCCAGGCTGGACCGGTTTGAGAAGACCAATGAGATGCTGATCAACTTCAATGGCCTGTCCAATGTGCGCTTACAACAGATGAATGAACACTTTCTAATGCACACCCGTACATTAATAGAGATGAAGAAAGACTTGGACAGCATCTTCAGACGAATAAGGTATTATATCCAGTAACTATATGGTGAATTAGGGTAATGTTGGACAACTAAGATCTAATGTGTACATTTCTTTACATCCATTACAGGCAAGCTTTGGCTTATGATAACATTAATACATTCTAGCTGGGTTGTCCTGATAAAATTTTGGCCAAATTGTTTAAGTAGAAAGTGCAAATAATGTCTGAAATATATTATTTTACATACGTTTAATAATAATATTACAACGTATGGTGTAACAATCCATTTCCTAACATGATTTTGTGTTTCCTCAGGACTTTAAAAAGCAAGGTTGCGAAACAATATCCAGAGGCCTTTAGCAGTAAGTTATTGTGCATTATTTTATATTGTGATACACTACGATTAATACTGTGGTGATAATTATTTTCTAGATAATTATGTTATGGACTTTAACCGACACATGTTAGATATTAAAAAAGTAAATAAAGAAGTAAAACAAAAAACTAAGTCAATAGATTTGTGTCCATGTTAAAACAATGTTTTTATGTCTAAAAAAACACTCAAGTTCAATCTTAAATCTTATAATTACTTTTTTTTGCAATAATCTAGCATTATTTCTTAAAATAAATCTTAAAATAAAATAAATCTTTCTGAAAATAATCTTAAAAAATACAGAAATCAACATTCACAATTCAATATCAAATATTTACTGATATAATTTTTTTTTAAAACACCAATGTACATTAAAGTTAAAAAGTTTGGTTTAGTAAGACTTTTTTAAAGAAAATAATACTTTTATTCAGCAAGTACGAATTCAACTGATCAAAAGTGACAGTAAAGAGATTAATAATAATATTACAAAAGATTTTTATTTCAAATAAATGATGTTTGGACTTTCTATTAATCAAAGAATCCAGAAAAAGAATGTATCACTGTTTCCTCAAAAATATAGCACAACTATTTTCAACATTGATAATAATTATAAATGTTTCTTGAGCAGCAAATCAGCATATTAGAATGATTTCTGAAGGATCATGCGACACTGAAGACTGGAGAAATGATGCTGAAAATTCAGCTTTGATCACAGGAATAAATTAAATTTTCAAATATATTCAAATAGAAAGCAGCTATTTTAAATTGTAATCATATTATTTACTGTTTTTACTGTATTTTTCATCTTTTTAAGTACCCCAAGCATTTAAATGGTAGTGTACAATGTAAATATTTTTTTATAGTTTTGCTGGTGTTGTATAATCAAACCACTTTGTTTCCAAAAGACATCAATGAATGTTCCAACCTGGAGGATGATGATGATGAGTTTGACCCCATCCCTCCCAGTGTGGCCACCACCATCACTGCCACTGCAACATCCGAACAGAGCACAGAGTCATGTGACACAAGCCCTGATGTGATATCACCCACCATTAGCTGCTGTTCTGAAGACCCCTCTCAAGAGAACACCGGCACACCGACCTCTGACAGTCATGAACCGGCAGTGTTACGGGACGAGGGTCCCGATTCAGCTGACATTTAAATTTCTAATATGGCGTTTACTACATCCAGATGCCACTTAATGATGCAAGTCTACAGTTTAATGTGTACTGTGTAAAATTGTGCTACTAATTTGGTGTTATTTTCAGTTTTCCGTTTTCTGTTACAACTGTACATTGACTGCTGTGGTAATAGCCTAGAAAATTTATTTAAACTATTTTGTGCAGATAAAACAATTCCAAAGATGATTATGATACGATTAAATACAGACATGTTTACCTGGTGTTGGGTAATATTTCATGTTCAAAACCGCAATAGTTATTATCTAGTATTATTATTTTTTGACTCAGAAATGCATGTCATGAATAAAAGCTTTGTAACTGTGACTGTCAGATTTTTTTTAATTAGACTCTGTTTACTTGGATTTTTCTCTAAATTCTGAATAGTCTACTAATCTTACTATTTATTTACTAAAACATAACAATAAAAATGGTACTAGTAGTAAGCTAGTATTCTATTCCGAATCCACCCACTTTTCCACGTATTTTTTTTATTACAGTAAAATTCCTACATTTCCCATAATTCACTGGACCGGAAGCTCGCGACTTCAGCTCATCAGCGTCCCTCTTCTGAGTCCTCTACGTGTCTGTCCGTTATTTCACTAAAACCTCAATGTAAAAGATTATTTAGTTAAACACTGTATTTTAAAAAACAATGAGGCACTTAAAATAGCATTTCAAGGTAAGTAGAGAACGGACTAATTAAAATGACAAGCCAGACAAGTGCAGGGCTAGCAGTGGCTAACAGTAACCATAGACAACTGAGATAAACGAGCCTTCACATACAAATTGTTGAAATAAATTCACTTTAAAAAATGTTTACAATCTTATATGTATTTGAACGTTTCGCATATTTAGCATTGTATGCTAATAACATAGAAAGTTATTGTAATTACTGCTCATAAATGTGCAATTCTTGATGTACAAATGATGAATTGCAGCCTAAATTCATGAGGAAGATTACAGCTAACTGCTGTGACGATGAGGAGGCTGAACAAAAAGAAAGCCCTGAACTTTGTGAAGGAGTTGGATGCTTTTCCCAAGGTTCCTGAGAGTTATGTGGAGACAACAGCCAGTGGAGGAACTGGTGAGATGAGCTGAGATTTCATTTGTCAAATGATGGTTGGTTTAAAGAGACTACATAAATACACGCATGTGTGTATGTCAGTGTTATTTAATTGTTTGTATAAGTAGTAATATAGTATAGTTAGTACAGTAGTAGTTGATATACTGTTAGTTTTTATTTTGAATAAAATAAATATTTTGAATGAGTTCTTAATATTCTTGAGTTCTTAACTTGTTTTAAAAGTTGTGTATATATAGTTTTAATGACTTTTTATTTTATTTTTTTTAGTTCAAGTTATACTTAATGAAAATGAGAAATGTTTAATTGTCAAATTGCTGAAAATAAATGTTTATTTAACTTTAGTTAATGTTTATTTTAAGTCAAGAAAATGTTTTCTTTTTATTGTTTTAGTTTTTGTTAAGTATTATAACCCTGGTGTATTAGATGGATGGAACGATAGATAGATAGATAGATAGATAGATAGATAGATAGATAGATAGATAGATAGATAGATAGATAGATAGATAGATAGATAGATAGATAGATAGAATGCTTTTTCCTTTCTGACTGTTATCAAATATAACTACTGTGATACTGAATTGAAACATCTTAAATCAAATTAAATAGTGATTTTCTTTCTCAGTGTCTGTGTTGGCCTTCACGGCGATGGCACTCTTGGCCTTCTTTGAGTTCTTTGTGTATAGGGACACCTGGATGAAGTACGAGTATGAAGTGGATAAAGATTTTACTAGGTGACTCTTTAACATAACAGTAAATTGTTATTTTGTATCTGCATATAATATAGATGTGCAATAAAAACACTAACATTTTATTTCATCTTGCAGCAAACTACGAATTAATATTGATATTACAGTTGCCATGAGGTGCCAATGTAAGTAAATCTTTCTGTAGTCATGTGTTGTATGACTTGCAGCATAAATTTGTCAATAATCTTTAGAATTTTTTGTTTCAGTTGTTGGTGCAGATGTGTTGGATCTCGCTGAGACGATGGTGGCATCTGACGGCCTGCAGTATGAACCCGTGAGTATGTACCCGAAGTTACTTATTTCCTAGTATATTTTAGAGCGGTGCCGTAACATGTTTATGACTCTTTCGCAGGTTGTTTTTGACCTTTCTCCTCAGCAGAGAATCTGGCACAGGTACATTTGTTTATACCGATTACATTTTCAACCTCCAAAGTGGTTCCTGTCACCTGTGACCTTAGGACACAATTGTAATGTCATATATTTGTCAATATAAAGATGTAATTATAAAGAGAAAAATCCTTTTCGTGTCCCTCAGAACACTTTTGCTCATTCAGGACCGTCTGCGTGAGGAACATTCACTCCAGGATGTTCTGTTCAAGAATGTCATGAAAGGTGCCCCCACTGCTCTCCCACCCAGGTCAGAATCCTGTACGAGAACGTGTTACACCACATGTCAAACGTGAAGTCGGCATGAAATGGAAGTTTTGATAGTCTTTTATTTCCTATTGTGACATATATATGTCGGCCGGGGCTTGATTTTGTCCATCGGGAATTGATTGGATGGTTGTGGTTTGCTATTGGTCAATCTTATGTGAGTTTGTCCCGCCCTCTCGCCAGTAAACGCATCATCAGAGAAGAGAAGAGATGACGCTGCAAGAGGGAGGGGAAGTTATTTTAAATAAAGAAGGCACATAAATAATAAAATGTGCACGGATAAATCATTTATAATAAATACTGCAATATTCCATAAAAAATAGAATTGTCCATTTTGATTTCATAGTGTGTATGTGATTTGTTTGTTGACCGTGTAGGGAAGATGACCCCAAACAGCCTCTAAATTCCTGCCGGATTCATGGACACCTCTATGTTAATAAAGTAGCTGGAAATTTCCACATCACTGTTGGCAAGTATGTTTCGTTTCATTCTGTTTTTTCTATCCAATCACATTTTGACTCCAGTAAAAGTTGTTTTTAAGTACTGCAAACTTACTTTTAGTTCAAATGCATGTCAGTTGAAGAGTCCATTTGATCGTTGATATAGTCAGATGATGTACACCTTTGAATGAGACTGAACTGTATATATTCTTATTTCATGTTCATTTCAGGGCCATCCCACACCCTCGAGGTCATGCTCATCTAGCGGCCCTGGTCAGCCATGAGAGTAAGCTGAAGAGCTTCTTCAGACCTTAACTTAGTCTGTTCATATGCATGTTCTGGAAGTGGGTTTTGGTGCTGCAGATATTTTCTGAATGGCTCATTCTATGCAAAATGTATCCAGTGCTTTTGCATCCAGACTAGAAGGCAACATCTGTTCCACTAAAAAAGGAAAAGGTACCTTAAGATTTATGTCCAAAAGGTCAGTCCGCTACTAAGGAGGACTGTTTAATTTTTCAGCATACAACTTCTCCCATCGGATAGACCATCTGTCTTTTGGAGAGGAAATACCAGGCATATTAAATCCACTAGATGGCACAGAAAAAGTGTCCGCAGATCGTAAGTGATTTTAACATTTATCAAAAATTTCAGGAAAAAAAAGTGTTTGTATATATATATATATATATATATATATATATATATATATAAAATATTTTATTTAAAATATATATTTTGGCATTTTTCTAATTCAATAAAAAATGTATTCAAATTATATTATCAGCATATATATATATATATATATATATAATATATATAAACTTATTGGATTAGCATAAATACAGTATAAACAATTATTTATATGAATGACTTTATAAATAATATTTATCATTTATATTAATTTATCATTTAAAAATATATAGTATAAAAATTATAGGGGTCCAAAAGTCTGAACATTTTATAAATTTTCAAATTCAGTATATTTTTTCCTTTAATTATATTGTCAGATTGACAATATAAGCGAAAGTAAAATTTTTGATTACCCTGTTTTGTTTTTTTTGCTAGATAATCAGATGTTCCAGTACTTTATTACCATTGTGCCCACAAAACTGCAGACGTACAAGTTGTCAGCGGACACACACCAGTATTCAGTCACTGAACGGGTACAGACGGCTTCAAAATATATATTCATAACCATCTGTTGTTTTAATTAAAGTTGCAAATCAAACTGGCACGATTTGCAACATTTTACAAAGTTGAATTCTAAAAAGTGCATAGTGTATGCATGATTGCTAAGGATGATCACTGATGCCACATTTGGACTCTCTTTCCTTTAGGAGCGAGTGATAAACCACGCAGCGGGGAGTCATGGGGTTTCTGGGATCTTTATGAAGTACGACATCAGCTCTCTGATGGTAAAGGTGACAGAGCAGCACATGCCCCTGTGGCAGTTCCTCGTGCGCCTCTGTGGCATCATAGGAGGCATTTTCTCAACGACAGGTAAATGGAAAGATATCTGCTAATCAAAAATATCTCATTTGAAATGATTCCATGATTGTGATTTGTTTCTGCAGGCATGTTACATGGTCTGGTTGGCTTCTGCGTAGACGTGGTCTGCTGTCGTTTTAAACTAGGCGTTTACAAGCCAAAGACTGTAAGTAGTAGCTGGGGTTTTTTATGCATCATTTTTCAAATGTTTTGGAACTGAGCATCGACTCTTAATGTTGTCTTTTGTCTTTAGATGAGTGTTTTTGATGGCCACATGAACAGCCTGACGCCACTTCTTTCTGAGAACACCGAACACTAGCCGGGCTCTTCTACTCACCACATCAAGATCAATTCAGTCACTATTCAATCTGAAACACAAGGATTCAGTTAATACATGATATTGAGGTTGACTGTCATTTGTGTTACTGTAAAGATCCAACTGCACTGACACAATAAACATTACACAGGTATGAATTCATGAATTAGTAGTTTCCCCAGAAAATTTTGTTTGGTGCGAAAATCGATGAATTTAAATCAGTGGATAGCTTTTTTTAAAGTGCATTTGTTATAGAAAGATTCTTGCATAAAAGCTTGTTAATGTTATTGCACTCATGAAAACATCTTATATTTTTATTAAAATGTTTCTAAATGCAGGTATTTAAATTATAATTTGATCGTCGTCTTCGATTGCATGAAATACTCCTTTTAAAAAGTGCAGATCTGACTATCAGACAATTTAGTCTTAGGCGAAGTGGCTTTTAATACAATCTTAAAATATGAACTGAAGTAGCATCAGGAACATTTCAGACACGACCCATTCACGACAGTATTAGCATCTGGCTGGGATGTTTGTAATGATTGTCCCCAGCCAGAGCTGAGATCTCCACCTCAGGAAGGATTGATTATTTTCTATTCATATGCATTTTAAGAGATTGTGTGAAATAATTCATTTAAAGCATATTGAACATTCTTTCTGATGTACTAAATCATTTCCCACATTATATTTGCATGATTAAAGATCACACTGTTGATGCAGACTCTTGAGCCAAAGCCCTTTCTAGTTCAATTAGGCTCCCTGCTGTAATGATTAAATCAGAAAAGAATTTGTAGTCTGGAGACAAATTACAGTCACGCATAACATCCTGTCGGTGTATTTTGCTTAGTTTATGAATTTTAACATGACATTCCCCAGGATTGGGATGTTTTCTTCCCTATTATTCAGCGTGTCTTCTGAGAGTCCAAATAAAAACACTTTCTTATGCACCTGCACACCTGTGATATCTGTTTTTGAGTGTCAGTACCGTCTGTTCTTGTCTCCTGAGCAGCAAAAAAAAATCTTGACTTCATAGTTTGTCCTCGTAAACTTACATTAGGCGCCTCTTGAAGGATGTAAAGCCTGAGGTTAGTTGGGTTTTTATTCAAATGAATAAATATACAATTTATTCTTGCATGTAATTAAACATTCTCATTTGCTTTCTTTCCCAAAAGACCCAAGAAAGTGCAAGTGTGCAAATGCCAATTACCAGAGAAATTGGTTTAGGAATGACCTTTGTTCAAGCATCAACCTTGTTACCAGCAGATCACATACAGACCATACAAATCATAACTAGATTGCAATAAAAATGTGAAAAGAGACAGTAATAATAATAAAAAGTAATTTACTCACTTTCATGTCATTCCAAACCTTTGTTTAGTTTGTTAGTTCATCATAATTCATTAAAAAGCTGTCAAGCTCCAAAAAGACTAAAAAAGGATCATAAAAGTGGTTATGGCGACTCATTTGAACTACTTTTATGTCACTTTTTGAAAGTTGAAAGCTCCAGTCCTCGTTTGCTTTAACTGTATGGAAAAGAGCAACCGGGACATTCTTCAAATTATCTTCTTTTAAGTCCCACATAAGAAAGCAAGCCAGACAGACATGAGGGTTAGTAAATGATTAAGTATTTCTTAAAATATTTGGTCATATTATCTGTAACAAAACTTTTGTGTAACTTTAGGCTTAAATTATGTGAAAAAAATCTCCCGAACAAGCTCAAGAGCCTCATCATCCACGCCAGGCTTCTCTGAAGTTCCTGAAGCATCCGGATAAGGTTTTAAATGGCAGTCTGGTTTTGTACTGGTACTTTCTTCCATGCAGTGTCCATATGGCACAGTCTCTTGCTCGGCAATGTTTGAAACGTATGTCCTGTCCTGTACATCTGAGTCAGACGTGTCTTCATCTGTCTCTGGAATGAGCATTACCTCCTCCGGGGCCTGCATTGCATCTCTAGCACATGACTGATTCATAAGAGAAATAATAATAGGTATGTATCATTATGTGCCATAAATAATTCATATATGAGAGTCAAAATCCTTTTACCTTATTATCCTTCAAAATGCTGAGCGCTGTTTCCACGAGCTCCCTCTCGTTCATCCAGTACGTGACGACACTGAGAAAGACATTGGGCGAAAACATTTTTTCATGAAAGGTCCGTTCACATTATTATTAATAAGTGATAGTTCTTAAAGGTGTTTCTACCTCCGTCGCTTCTTCGCTCTCTGTTTTGAGGTTTTATGTGATTTCTTCTTTTCCACTTCTTTATCTTTACTGCATTTAACGTCAGATTTCACCATCCAGAGTGGAAGGTGTCGGGGCTTTTCGGACATTATGTAGTTTACGATTCATTTGTACCGAACCAGCCAAGAAATATTGTTTTTAAATTCTTCTTTGACTGTTTTTAAGATAATGAATGTTGTGTGTGCCACCTTGTGGTCTGGAGAACAATATACGGTTATTTCACAAGAAAACGTATAATTATAATTATATAATTATACACTAATATATATCAGACATCTTCTGAAAAAGACATGTGAAGAAGAGGCAGAAACAAGCGATAGCGTAAGCATATGTAAAATAATTATATAATATATATATAAAACTGTAAAACCATGTGTAAAACGTGACATTTATGAAAAATACACTTTTCCTGAAAATACATTAGGCTTTCATGTAAAAATCTATCCTTACACACACACACACACACACACACACACACACACACACACACACACACACACACACACACACACACACACACACACACACACACACACACACACACACACACACACACACACACACACACACACACACACACACACACACACACACACACACACACACACAGCTGGGCAGATTATTTGCTAATTGTATCCAGTTACGGATGACAAACTGCATGACAAATAGTATTTAGTAACGTAGCCTAACCCAGATTACTCATTCGGACTAATTTTTAATTACTTCTGACCTAACTCGTTTATTACTTAGATTTGGATGGGATTACTATTGATATAGTATAAAAAATATTCCATTGGAAAAATATTCCGAAATTGGAAAAAAATTATCAACAACTTGAAATGCATTAACTCTTTCCCCGCCAGCGTTTAAAAAAAAAGTTGCCAGTCACCACCAGTATTTTTGATAATTTTCACAAAAGGTTCATTGCCCTCAGAATATTTTGATGTATGCATATCTGAACATGCAAAATATCAAAAGAAAGAACAGACCCTCTGCTTTTATATCTCATTATTTTACATATGCTTACGCTATCGCTTGTTTCTGCCTCTTCTTCACATGTCTTTTTCAGAAGATGTCTGATAGTGAAAAAGTGAAACCCCATAGTGAAAACAGGGAAAGCAGGAAATGTCCGTGAATGGCGGGGAAAGAGTTAAGAATTACCAGGGTTTCTCAAACTGGGGTTAATGAAAAAACAGGGCTTGTGAGTTGATGAAAAGCTATGATTAATTAAATCATAAAAATGAAAATGAATAAATCATTTGAAAACAGAAGATAAATAAATATGATTAAACAAATATAATGATTAAAATAAAAATATGAATATTTTATTTGTTTACCTGCATGTCAATGTGACCATCATCTGAGAGAACTGTGAACATGCACATGTTTGAAATATGTTTGTCCAGACTTTTGTACAGATCAATAATTAGTGAAGGTCTCTGGATAGGATGAACACACTGTTTCACAGATATATATCAGCAGTGTTAAGTAACTTGCTTATTTATTCAACTCATAAATGGTGTAAATGAGAGGTGTCTCCAAATGTAGAAGCGTCACAAATTGTTTTACATGGCCCTTCTAACAATAGGATCCACAATAGGATTTTTAAAAATTTAAGAGTAAAAAAAGAATTCGGGAGAATCAATAAATTATGAATAATTTACTGTCATAGTGTGAATATGTAATTCATAAAAAAACTAACTGTAATCTGATTATGAGCATTTTAAAACATACTACGTAATCCAGATTACATGCAATCAGTTACTGCACTGCACTGCACGCACACACGCACACACACACACACACACACACACACACACAAATAAACATAAAAATATAAACACACACACACATACATATACATAAATATTCAAGTGTCAAGTGCGTTTAATTATTTTTCAGTACGATGAATAACTGCTCACACAATCAGACATGAGTATAATCAGAACTATAAAAAGAACTTTAGACCTTGTCAGAGTTTATTTAACAGTATATCAGAATATCATACAGGTAAACAAGATTTTAGCAAAATTTATTATATCCGTACTGTTGCATTTCATAAAAATATTTGATCACTTAGTCTTTGAAACTATCAATAATACATTAAACCATATTTATAGGAGTACAGCTGTACAAGGTAAATACACATCTAACACTAGACAGTAATATTGATCTGAATGGGCCCCGGTGCGTGCCATCTTTCACAGATTCAATATTTTCTTCCGTAATATAAAATGTTTTTTTGTTTTTTTTCTTTGTCTTATTTTCACAGCAGGCAGGATACAGCTTCAAACAGTAAAAGCTATGAGCTGTGCAATAAATGCATCTACCTTTTCCTTCAGCGTTTCTCGCAGTCTGTCTCTCCATGTAAACAGCAGTTTCTTCTAGCACACTGCACCCGATGATGGAATCAATGGAGACGACAGATATTATGTGCTAGCTACAAAAATCATCAGGGAGATATGAACAGGGAGCATTTTATTGTGGCACACATTACTAATATACACTATCTTGTTTCCACTGCAAAAAAAAAACAAAAAAAAAACTTTTGATTCATTATTTTCCTCTTGTTTTCCATCAAAAACATCCTTAAAACAAGATGAATCTACTTGATTTTATATATCTTGAAATAAGCTTATTTTTCTTACACCACTAGCAAGTAGTTTGTTTCTTATTTTAAGCATAAATGTAACCTAAAACTAAAATAAACTTAATTCAAGATACACTTAATCTGTTGTTTTTTTTATTTACACATTTCAAAAGTATGACAAATTTCCATTTCATTGGATTGAGTAATCTATAAATGGTGTACATATGGGGTTTTGTAAGAAAAATGTACTTTTCGGGTCAGAGGTCACTCTTCCGCCAGAAGCCAGTGATTATAGTTTATTAAGTTTTAAATATAGATTTATTTTTTATATAAAAACACTTTTTACTCTGCAGAAGGCCTTTATAAACCCCTGGAGCCATGTGGATTACTTTTATGATGGATGGATGCGCTTTTTTGGGCTTCAAAATCTCAGTTACTATTCACTCCCATTATAAAGCTTGGAAGAGCCAGGATATTTTTTGAATATAACTCAGATTGTGTTTGGCTGAAAGTTATATACAGCTAGGATGGCTTTATGGTAAATTATTGGATAATTTTCATTCCTATTCCTTAAACTTGTTTTAAGGATGTTTAGAAAATGTTACAGGAAAACAAGACAAAATTAAGACTGAATTGAAATTTTTTTTTGCAGTGTTCAGAAGTAGGAATGTGATAAGCTTAAATTGATATGCAACATTTTTAATACATCTCTGGATGCAGTTTCAGGATATTCTGTAGTTCAAGAAACCGCTTGAAAATCCGGAAATACATTCCACATACCTCCAAAACAATTGAATTGGCACAGTTATCAGCCTGCGATCAGAATGACAGGTGCTGAGCAGCATAAGACAATTTCACAATTAAATGAATACAAAAAGAGGTGAAACACTGCATGGCATCGAACCCGATTCAATCACTGTAAATGTTTCTGTTGATCACTATCACCGTATGAAACGCATTAACACACAGTCTCCTCCCTCTATTGAAAAGGTCCGAATGACAGAGGTTTGGATAAAACACAAAATCTTGATATATTATCTCCTTATTTTCTCATAACGCTGTCCACATGTGCCAGATCAGAATTTTTGATCTTTATACATTTTCACTAACAAAATATTTTCACGAGATCAGAAAAAATTGGCAAAGTCTGTCACCCTGAAATCAAAGGTGAAAACAAAAAATCAGCTCTTAAGATGTTGCTATTTTTTATGTAAAATGCATATTTCATACTGCTCTTTTTCCTGCCAGTAAGGCACTCTGCCCCATACAACTGGGTCCCACCCATTCATGCTAGAGAGACCCTGATCATGCCCATATCACTTAAAAACACCCCTTTTCCTCGCCTCCCAGCTGAACCTTAACCGTGTCTTAACCAGGTGTGAGTGTCCAACGATAAACCAAAAGTGACTGGAATTTAAAGTTCACGTTATGTGCGATAACCGATTCCATAGCATTTTGTTTAAATAAAACCCTAAAAAATAAAAAATCAATAATTTTAAAATGCTACAAGTGAATTTAGGCATCACAATATTATAATGTATAGTATGAAAAAATAATATTCATTGTGAGGTTTGCCAAAGATCACATTTAATAGTGTTATTAAATCAAAATTAAATACCCAATATCAAAATCGGCCAATAACCGATATGGTACCAAAATCTCGCACCAGGAATGTGCATTAAGAAAGTAAATGGAAAAAATGCTAGGTAGCCCCGCACACAATTACATCTTATTGGTCCAAAATCCACATTTACACATATATAGCCCCCTCCATAAGTATCTCATTGGTCTGAAATTCACATTGACATGTATGTAGCCCCACCCATAATTACATCTTATTAGTCCAAAATCCACATTTACGGGTACTTGGCATGTTAATGGTCCAAAAACCCACATTGTTGTTTATTACACATCTAATACATTCTGACTAGAGGTGTTTTTTCGCATTTGGAGCGAATAGGCAAATTATTGTTTTGTCGCACTTGGTTAAGACACGGTAAAAGACTATACATGTCTCCTGGTCTCAGACCAAACTGCCCTGAAAAACTCCCTCCTTTTTTAATTAGCTCCGCTAATTAGCTCCCATGAACTACGGAGCCATCAGAGACATGGGAATGAAGCTTGTGAGGTGTAAGATGGCACCCCAAATCCACAGTGGTGGCACACAGTACAGGCCCGACGAGGCCGGAGTGACGCACTGAGGCTTCAGAAACATCTGCGGTCCTTCTTCGGTTCAGTTCGCGATCTAACCGAACGTTTGGCTGGGTGGGTTCATCGATAGACTAAACCATACTAATGTAACACATTGTCTTGGGTTCTAAAGGGATACGTCCATGCGGCAGATTTGGCGATTGATATGCATTTACCTCCCATAATTCAGCCCGAATGGGTCGGCGTGATACTTTACCTTGTATCTCCATCATGGCGGCCTCCTTTTATATTTACTGTCAGTGTTTTACAATGTCTATGGTGACGGGTTTTTTTTCCCATCAGACATGTGATGAAACTCAATACTAAAACGTTGAAGTTCTCAACTCTGAAGTTTGTGTGTTTCTTCGGGAATCTCTT